GGGCGGCTCCACCGAGGCTCGGTGGACCCGCCCTTTTTCGAAGAAGTTCGAGCCCTTCCTACGCATTTCAAAGGTAAGTTTTCAATTCAGTGACAGTTCCTATGAACTTTACTTGGGCTGGGGCATGCTTCCACACCTCAGGATTGGATTGGTTGAAACCCTCCTTGGACTGTTGCTTTAAGGGGCTACTACGTAACGCTCTTTCGAAAAGCGATGCACTACTCTTGAGCCTAGAAAGGAATGGGTATGCTGTAAGCCGGCCTGGAAATTTAGGATTCGACATAAACTAATTTCGGCACACAGAGAGTTCCTTGCATATCTTGGATCCCCTATCCTGTAACCACATTTGAAACCTTGAGTTTAGGTGTGAGCTTCCAAAAGCTCACAATTAGTAAACAGGGACGTCAAGGAATGATGAATATTCTCATTCCATTCCTCTCTGGGCTCACGCTAGTGCCATCGTGCTCGAAGAAGCGCCAGACGAGACGAGCGCCGCGCCGCCGCGTGTTATCCCTTCCTAGTCACTTAGCGGCAGCAATTTTAGTAATCTATAAGACGTTAATTATTCCGATGTCAAAAATGTGTAAAAGATCACGACAAACGGTTGGTAGGCGATCATTTGCTGGCAGCCCATATGGGCTGCCACTGGCGTGAACGTGTTAAAGGACATTTTGCGTGAAAATGAATAAGTTATCAGAAGCAGAACAAAATCGAGTGAGGGTCACCAAACAGTGAATTGAGAAATGATTCGGGAGACCTCCAACGACAAGTGAATACCATTCCTATCTTTATCCGCAGTGGGATTTATGCCTTTTTTCCGGACTCTCTTCTATTCGATGGCTTGAGTTTACATAAAACTCTCTGGTCAATTTTTAAGCAGCTTCTGCAACATGCTGCTAGTGGTGGAAAGATTAAAGGTGAGTGCTCGGAAAGAAAATTAATGGTTTTCGGAGCAAGGCTGTGGGGAGGTTGCGCACTTGTTGATGGATTTGTTGTTTTTTATGATAGGATCTACGAGAGTGATGTCATCGACTAGTCCAAAATATAACAACCTAACGCAGGACCTTTCGATTTATTTATTCCAAAAAATTTTATGGGTTAAAATTTTCCTCTTCGGGTAAATTTCGACTGGTCCCAGAAGCTGGATTACGTGCAACGTCAGCTGCATTCACCAAATCTCGTCGAGAATGTGCTGGCTTGTTCGTGGATGGCTGAGGTATTGTTTCCGTTGTGAGATTCAGGTTCGCTTTCGCGTGTTGGGCTTTCTGAACTGACGCTCTGCCTGAAAAAGGCTGGTCGTGCCAAGGAAAGCTACACATCAGTGAATAGAAAAGAAGAAATTTCAGAAGAATTTCGATCGGAATTGGGGCTAAACACCAACTGCTCCATCAGTAGATGGAAATGCCCTGCTGCCGAGAAGAACCTCAATTGGAAGTTCAGGTGTGCCTTGGATTCCCTATTGCGCCAAGAATCATCTTTTCGCAGCTTTCAAAACTTGAGTTTTTTTGTCTTTCAATGAAAAATATGTGTAACAATTACGCTTACAGCAGCCCTTCCAATGATACGTCCGCCGTGCAGTAAGAGGACGTAAGCAAACCAGCCCTTTTGGCGCTTCGGCTGGGACCGTATGCTGAATGTTGGGGAGGGGATGGAGTCCCCGACGGTGGACGGACCACTTCAACTCGGTCCTTAGAACCGCCACAATTTGGTGCTTACCTCAGAACTAAGCCTTAAAGAGAGGACGGGTCCCGTCCCTCTCCAAGGCTTAGTCCTGGGGTGAGCAAACCAGCCCTTCTGGCGGAGCTGCTGGACCAGCTGCACCACTTGCGTCAGTACTCTCCTATCGTACCAACCGAGTTGAAGTAAACCGTCGACCGTTGGGGACCCCATCCCCTCCCCAACATTCAGCATACGGTCCCAGCCGAAACGCCAAAAGGGCTGGTTTGCTTACCTCAGTATGGCATTCCGATAATGATCGACCGATCCTGAAATGATGGAGGATTGGGACCCCCCCCCCAATGTTCGAACGATGTTTTCAGAGCTGAAGTTTACACCAGCCTTAACGGGCAAAGTAAGAAGAGTAGCAATATTTTTGAATTCTATCTGAATTCGAAAAAAAATTTCATTCACTCATGAAAAAGCTTCTCTTTCCACGTTATTCCTAGGGAACCAACCCCGATGGCAACCTTCCTTCCTACCCCGCCCCCTCCCGCGTACCCGTTTTAATTTGACCGGCAGATGTGTGTGATCGGTCGTAATGGATGTATAGCATTGATTCGGAAAGGAGTGCAAGTGTATACAATACCATTTCAAAACAATAGCGCCCTCCTCATTGTAACATCCGTCCCATGACCGGCCTAAAGCCGGTCAAATTCAAAGGGGTAGGTTGGGGGGGGAGGTGCCATAGGGGTTTGGATTACGTATACCTATCTGGGAAGAGAGTCCTCTTCCTGATAATGCTAGGAAACTCACGTCTGAGGTCTTCGATGGCCTTTAAAGCACGGACTTGTCCCGATTTCAGCTCTTCATTATATCTCTCGACAATACAGGTTGCTAGCTCGATCCCTTCGGCTCCCTCACAGCTATCCAAGTTTTCGATTTGAACTCGGCTGCCTCTTCTGAATTAGAGACAATACATATCTATGGGTACCACCTTAGCTGGTATTAGGCCTTAGTGGGGCTGACCGATATGTAGCTGGATGTCGCTGCGAAGCTTCAGTGCAATGTGTATTCTGGCCACGACCCATCAAATATCAGGGTTGTTTGGAATGCAGTGCGGGTTTTTGATCTCCTTTTTCGAAGAAGCTTATTTCCATTTGAACTGAGTTTTTGTTGGGACCAAAACACTTTGATGCTGATTTTTTTCCACAAGAAGGGCAACCAAATGTTCCAAATATCCCGTCAGCACGAGAATGAGCAGCTTTGGCGCGGTCGATACGAAACATTCGAGACCCGCTTCAGTTTTCGAACAACCTGATATTATGCTGTTTTAGAAAGACAATTGAAAGTGCTCACTTTTGTGAAAGAGAGCTGACGTCCGCATTAATGTTCACAATTTTTCCGGAAACAATGAATAGCGCGAGAGCTAAACGAGGGAAATTAAGGTCACTTCAAAACTCAGACTTGCGAGGGAAAACTCACCAAATATGAGCAGAAGGAGGACAGTCCACATTGGATCAACTTTCAAACAGGGTCGCCGCGATTTTATACAGTTGTGACGAAATGAGGTTAAGTAAACCTCCATTAGGGTGCACCCCGTTAAATGTGATTACGTAAAGGTGAATGGCGTGCAATATTCGCCATTTCAGGTAACATTTGTTAGTAAATTGACATCCAAACTAGAGACCTTACCCACACTTACCTGTGACAGTTGAAAAAATATCTGGAAGACGCGAGCTCGTGCCATTGTGCTTTATAGATAAGCACACTACTAAATGGTCAAGATTTTCAATTTTCAGCAAGTCTTGTTGTCGTCAGTTAGGCATTGTTATTCACTCCTCGTATTCATTGCCGTTTTCATAGTGCACCACTCGTTACCCACGATTTGGATCTACAGGGTGGATCAAAATAATGGCAACCAAGGCATTATATCACGAAAACGCTTATTAGCCTGAAAAAACAATAAGCTCCAAAAAAAGGTTGGCCACAAAAAAAAACAAGACCAGATTCGGGTAGAAATCTGCCACCTATTGCACACAAAGGCCGATGTCAGACTTTGCGAATCGCGCGATTCGCTAGCGTCCGCGGTCGCGTTGCGGTACCAGCCAATTGAGTGATTCACTGGCCGCGACGCGACCGCAGACGCTAGCCTGACAAAGTCTGACATCTGCCAAACAATCCTTCATATAAGGGAAGGCGTGCACGGTGGGACGCAGATGAAAAGAGTCACGATGTTTCCAAGTTTTTTTTTGTTGTGGCCTCTTTAGGAAATCGGACTTTTTTAGGGTTTTAGCTTGCTCCTGCCTCCAATTTTACCATGAGGAATGTCTTTGGTAGAGTATTCTCAGGTAGCAGTCCTTAGAAGACGATAATCACAAATTCCCTCTACGTAGGGACTTTACCTTGACACTAGGTGCCTTGAAGTAGAGAAATGCCCAAATTAATGCTCAAGTGGCTTCTTGCCTGTGGCAGAAATCAGCTCTCAAGAGGGTCTCAAGAGGTCTATTACATCAATTTTTTAATTTGTCCGGTCTGAAAGTCAAGGAGGAGAACGAGGTTCTTCATTTGATACCTGTGCCAGTGGCAAATGTAACCATGAAATCTCCGCCTTTTCCATCTTTGGTGGTTCCTCACTCATTGAGTGGTTCAACTCTTACCCAAAAGAGCTCCGCTGTTACGTTGAACTGTCGCTAGATACAGCATGCCGAGCCCCACGTCGGTTCAATTTGAGGATGGGCATACCTCGATATGGTTGCATCACTAGTTTTGCGACTGTAGAATGTATGGCCAGTAAGTGAAGTCAGCGTCCCCTATCAGACGATGCCCAAGAATGAAGGGGAGTAAGAAGAGATCCGAAAAAAACGAGTTTCACCTTGCGCACTCGCGTTACCATAATTTTGGTCCATCCTATAGATATAATCAATATTTCATTTGGCGAGTGCCTAATTCTGAAAACGGTCACGACTCGGAGTCTACCACTAGGAGAAAATGGAAAGGCAAGAAAGCAATGCTATCCAAAAAAGCGTCAAAAACGAATAGCGCCCAAATACCGTCTGAGGCTGAACAACATTTAGAGAAGCACCAAATTTTTATTTCAAAAGAACTCCAAAAGTTCAGAAAATTTGGAATTCTTTTGAAATAAAAGTTTTGGTGCCTCTCTGTGTTATACAATATTTAGGTGCTGATGAGGCTCCGGGACAGCACAATATTAAGAAAAACAATTTAAGTTGAGATAAAAACTGCTATACGAAGTTATTACGAAATTGTGTTGGAACGAGTTATCGTCGAAAGCACACCTATTTATTGATCTTTATCAACGTCATCATTTCGAAAGCTGTAATCTAATCCACCACTGGAAAACCGCAATGCACTTGTAGGACGATGCTCTCCTGAGCACAAGCTCCTTGTCGCCATATTTGCCATCCGTTTATTGAGTGTTCAGTGTTGTAGGTATAGAACCTGGAAAGCTTTTATAAAAATTGATGATCATGACCTCTTATTTAGGAAATCCTTTTTAGGCAGTGTGCTGTAGCTCCTGGATAGACAAGACTTTAAACGAGTCTGTCGAATCCTCTAGGAATCGCAAAGGCAACGATCCTCGAATTAATTCTGTTGAATAGTAAAGGGTTCCTGAGCAGCCAGGGCTCGTGCACTATCGCTTATCAGAAATTAAAGCGGCGCTTACAAAAGTCTAACAAGATCAGAGCTGGGCTTTTGAAACATGCTTTCTTGCATGTTGCAGGGACGCATTAATGGACCGCAAAACCATGCTTAGTTTCCGCAAACCAGTTTTAAAGAAAGGTGCTGGACCGATCTCCCGTGGCGACTAAATTTTGCATTTGGGTTGGCGCCTGCGGCTTGGTGTCAAATCGCGCTAAATGTCAAAATCAGATGTCATATTCATAGTCAGGACCATTTTGAAGCCAACAAGTGGCCGCCAACCTTGATTGCAAAATTTAGTCGCCGCGGGGGATCGAACCATTAACAGTATTATTCACCACTTTTTTGGTACTACTAAAACCGTTCAGCGAAAACGAAACATGGTTTTGTGGTCCATACATGCGTCCCTACAATATGCAAGAAACCGTTTTAAAAAAGCGCGATTGCCCTGAAGGTCACCCTTGTAAGATTCTGCTTTGACCGCTACCTTTTTTCTCATTCGCAACACGTGCGGTGTCCTCTCCAACTCGTACATTTTGATCCCGGCGATTCCCTCAACTCGTAGCTCTATATCTTCCTTGTGCGTTCCTTGTTACAATCCATGGCTTTTCACAGTGCCTTTTACATTTTTCCGCACTTCTCCTTTCCTCACTCGGCTCTGATCGCACTTCTCGGTTCGTTTCCAAACAGAACGGCACACCGAATCGATCACGGCAGTGCCTCTACTAAACGAGTTACCCTTCTGGTAATCTCAAAACCTACGTAAAAATCGAGCCTGTAACAAGAAGTAGGGACAAGAGGGTGAGACAAACATTCACAGAGAGAGGTCCGGTGTAAGTCTATGGAATCTGTGCCTCAATGAATAACCAGTTATTTTGCGAGCCATTTCTTACTTTCAGTGTATCTAGCTCACACCTAGCTCTCACATTTTCGAATATATGTGAGCATAATATGTAAATGGAAAAATAAGATGCGCAAGAACTATAAATTCTGCGAAACTAACCTTATACACTTCCTGTTGGTAGTGGGGCTCTTGGAGATGACAGAATCGCGATCTGCTCCTTCACATTTGATGTCGCACGAATGGCGAGCCTCTCCTGCAATCACTGGTGTGGAAATTTCACCATCCGAACTCCATGTATGGTCTACCATTGAAATTAGTGAGCTTTACACCTTTGAGGGTCAGTATTGGTAGATTGGCAGGGAGGAAAATGTGATTTGATGCAGAAAATTGGAGGGGAAGCGTGAAGGGCCAAATTCTTAGTTCACAAAGCACAGCATCACCACGATACATTTACACTGAGAAAAAGATATTGTAGGCCGGGAAAGTATTTTTCATGAGCGCTATGCGAAGTGAAAAGTCAGGTAAAAGGTCACGGAGGCATGTACGAGCCATAGTGAGACGCTAACGCAAGATACAGGGGCATTGTAATGGTAATGCATGCAAAATCGCGTACAACACTTTTTTCTGTTTAATCCTGCCCCCTCGTGGGCTTAGACCTAGAGGATGCTCCCCATTTTGCGATTGTGCCCCAGTGATTCTCTCCAATTTCCTTGAGGTTAACGGTAGACAGGTCAAAATCTTACCGTTCAACGTGCAATCGGCTTTCGCAAAGGAGTCGTTACGTACCGCCAGCTGGCAGTCGTCAACATCGCATTTCAAGGTTCGCGCCTCTGAAATTCGATTGAGATTGAGTGGATTTCATACTTCATTTCTTATCAAGAAACGTTCTAAAAGATAGCCGAAGTGTCTACTCCTGAACGTATTAAAAGGTTGATGTGCTCAAACTGACCCCATCGAACGACACCCGACACGAGAACCAGAGAGCTGAGGAGGGCGATAGTTCGCAACATTCTTTCAGGCCGTATGTTATTGAGTCACACGAGCGAAAGGC